TGCTTCTTGGTACATTGCTTTGGTTAAAACATTAATTGTTTAGCCTTTCATATCCTTACTGCCCACACCCATGCCTGCTCCCTGCCCCTCTGTGGCCCCATCCTACATAAGGAGTTTTGTTGGGAGGGAGGGTGCTGACTGTTCACACAGCTCTGCAAAACCTCCTGTGGTTAGTGGGCCCAAATAATTGTCAACCCTTGGTCTAGATTAATCATCTGCTTTTCATTCAGACACCAGTATTTCCTCCAGTATGGTTCCTAGCATTTATAGCAGGCTTTATTGAGCTTATGATTTTGTTGAGTAAATATAATGGACAGTGAAACTGGCTGGTATTAACAAGGAAGCCTGTAGGAACACTGAATTGGCATGACATTGCCAGTATACATAACAAAGCATAAGCCAGGCATGTCAAGGATACAGCCTGCTTAACTGTTTCACCCACTCCATGGAGCTTCTAAGGTGGCTGGGAATTCAGAGGTGGGGTGAATGGGGGCAGGGCCTGCCACCAAATGCCATGAAGTCCTGCTGGGGGGGACATGTTGGCAGCAAGGGGGCAAGCAATGTCTGCATTAACCCAGATACTGCCACTCACACCACTGCCAGGTCTGGATTCAACTGACGGGGAGCTCCACGGTCTGGATCCAGGCTGGGGGCCCTGGTGACACGGGTACCAGCATAAGCAGTGCTTTTATCATTGAGATCCAGGGAATAGCAAATAGCTAGTATTATTTGTCCTTTATAAATGGCATTGTCTCTGTGACAGAATAGTTGCATTTCATGACAGTTGATATTAGAGGCCTGGGAGAGATCCAGTAGCTCCAGTATGGTTATGTGCTAGCACCCAAAGATAAGCTATCACCAGTGAACTATGAGCAACAGCCTTTTTGAGAGATCCATGCTGTTGGTGGTACAGGAAACAATACCTACTTTGAAGATGAGGTTGGGTGTCAAGTGTTGGTTTGTGAGTTTGTTGCATAATATGATAATAGACAAGGTTCTTTGGGTAAATGTGATATCTTTTATTAGACCAACTAAATAGTTGGAAAAATTGTTCTTTGCAAGCTTTTGGGCACCAACACCCTTCAGGCATAGGGAGAGTCTGCTGGTGTTGTGTGTTCTCCTGGATGGAATAGAAGCCAGCATGCAAAATGCAGGTGTGTGAACATGCGAATGTGTGGCAGTGCAGATCAGGGGCCATGGGAGATGAAAAGTGTGAGACAGGCAAGTTGGGGTAGGGGAAGGGGAAATGTTGACCTGGTGATAGAATATAGCTGGTAAAACATAGAGGTTACCTGGGGTTATCAGATGTCAGGCAGGTTATAATGTGCCATAAATCCTATGTCTATATTTAGTCCATGATTTTTTGTATCTTAGATTTATGAAGTGAAGTTCATAGGCTTGTCTATGAAAGGTATTTTGTAAATCCATTTGGGAGATCGAAGAGAGAGTGGTTGTCTTGTAAGAAGTGTGCACCCACAGGTAATTGGGTTTTTTTGTCTTTGATAGATTTTTGATGTGCGTTCATTCTGGTATGTGGTTTGGTAAGCAGTTGTTGTTTGGTTCCTCATATATATTTTCCATCAGGACATTTGGTGCACTGGATGAGATGTATTGCATTTCTGGAAGTGCACGTGTCAGATCCAGGAATGGTGATGGTTTTGTTGTGGGGTATATTAATTGTGGGGGTGGTAGAGATGTGTTAGCAGGTTTTACATTTCTTGTCATGGCATGGTCTGGATCCATTCAGTGTGTTATGGGCCATAGGAAGTTTGCTTCTGGTGATGAGGTTGGTGAGGTTCGGTGCTTGTTTAAAGGCTAGGATGGGTGGTTCTGGGAAGATCTCTTTAAGAACTGACTTTTCCTCTCCTAGGGGTTCTGAGAGCTGACCCACCTGCTCTCTCCCTCTCCGCTACTCTTCCCCTCTTTGGGAACCCTAGGAGACTTTGAACTCCCAGGGCCTAAACAGTCATCTTTATCAGCTGTGCCCAGTCCTTCCAGGCAGGCTTATAAGCACCCTGCCTTCCTCCCCCCCACCCCCAGGTGTTCAGTTTGCTACAGTGTTTGTCACCAGGCACTGCACAGAAGAGGATTGGTGTCCTGCTCAATTAAACTTACTTGAGAAATATTATGAGGTTTTTAATGTAAAGGGTTTTTTTCAGTCTGGAAAGTGATCATAATGCATTTAGTGTGCTTTTTGCATAGCATAAGGTATCTAACGCACCAACTTAACCATTGGATGTACTTTAGAAGGATACCCAATTTTGGTTAATCTTCTCCTAGGAACAGACTCCAGAACAACCCTTGGTAACCTGTTTAAATGTTCAAATGATTGATTATCCTCCTAGTTAAGAATGTGCCTTATTTCCAGTTTTACTGATATTAAAAAAAAAAAAAAAAAAAAAAATCTTTCAGCTCTTGGTTCTTGTTCTGCTTTTGTGTGCTAGGGTAAATAGCTATCTGCTATCAGATACCATCTCTCTTTGTAAATGACCATGTAATCTTCTCTTTGGTGAGATAAATAGATTGAGCTCCTTAAGAAGCAGTTTTTCTCAAATTGTTCTTATAGGTATGGACCCATGAGAAACCTGTTGTGGGGACAGAAGGACTTTACAGTGCCTCAGCTACTCTGTGAAAACTGTAGGCATGTCCTTATCTTGTAATGAATGGATGCTAAATTGCTGCAGGGATAAGATGCTCCAGTTTAGCTTTTCTTACAAGGAGGGCAGGGCAGACTCACAGGCAGCTACTGTGAAGCAGCTCTTTAGAGCACTGGCCCCTTTACCTATGTATCCGTTCCTTGTGACTCTTCTCAACCCTCCTTCTAGAAATTTGTGCACCAGAACTGGACAGAGTATTCCAGGAATGATCTTGCCAGTGCTGCCTGTACAAGCTTTAACACCTATTTATTCCTGCTTCCAGTTCTCTTGTTCATATAGCCAGTGATCGTGTTCACCTGCTTAGCCTCCACTCTGTACTGTCAGCTCACGTTCAGCTAGTGCGACCACTATCACCACTCCAGAGTACCTGCTTTGCAGTCCCTCATCCTGTCCATGTGACCTACGTTCCCTGTTGTTAGATATGATTTTATTATTATATTTTCTAGTGCGTGACATAGTTTTAGATTTCCTTTTGAGTGGGAAATATGCCATGTTTTATACACCAAAGCTATATAAGAAAACAGATTGCTAGAATAACTAACAAAAGCTGACCAATATGCAGTCAAATTTATGTTAAACACCTTTCTGCTACAATTTTATCCTTTTTTGGGGCGGACTTCTTATGCACAGGTGCATTTTATACATTGGGAAATACAGTCCAGTATAAACGCACCTTTTTCTTTTAGGCAAAGTTCTTTGAGTAGATGTTTTTACTTCTATTAGACCAACTGAACAGTTGGAAAAAAGTTCTTGGCAAGCTTTTGAGCAGTCACCCTTCTTCAGGCATAGGAAGTCTGTGCTGTTCTGAGACTCCAAGGAAAGGTTTTCTTGTTGTTGTTTTTTGTTTGTTTGTTTGTTTTTTATTATTCACTATTTTTTTTATTCACTATTTGTCACCTAGACAGTATCTTCTGTTGCCCAGTTCATCAGCAGTGATTTCTTCCTTCTGTTTATTCATTCCTTTCATCAGTGGTATAATGTTAGGAGAAGAATTGATCTCTATGGAACTTGAGCAGCAATGCATACCACCCCAGCATTTTTGCTGACTGGCATTCTTGCATAGTGGCCTCTGACTTTTTTTTCCATCCAGGAGAACACAGAACATTGCAGACCTCCTCAGCCTGAAGAAGGGTGTTTATACCCAAAAGCTTGCAAAGAAGAATTTTTCCAACTGTTTTAGTTGGTCTAATAAAAGGTATCGGATTTACCCAAAGAACCTTTTCTGCCTATATCCCTAGACCAACATGGCTACAGCCTATACCTACTCATTAAGTATTTCTTTTTGAGATACGTCAGTTAATCAGCTTTAAATCCATATAATGCTGCCATTGATTTTTATCTAGCACTAATTTTTTAAAATCAGAATGATCAGCAATACTAAGTCAGATGTCTTCAGAAATCAGTGCATTATGTTCACAGTTACTTTTATCAGTCAGACTTGTAAAATCACTAATGAGCTCTATATCAAGTTAAACTTAACAAGACTGGCATTGATTATATTTCCCTCCTTGTATTCTTTATTGCTAATCCCTGTTCAGCCATTCCAGGGCTTTGTCCATGGTTGAAGTCAAGATACCTTGGTTGTAATTCCCATTTTATCCCAATTTACCCTGAATAATTGACATGCAGTAGCTTTCTCACTGGCCTCTGAAACTTCTGCTGTATTCCAAGATTATTAAATGCCATTGTCAATGTTCTGTTACTGTAATGAGAGTGAGAGTGGCAGAAAAAGGAGGACAGGCAGGAGAGCGCTGAGTTGGCACTGGCTGGGTTGTTGCTGTGCATACCGCTGGTGTTACGTGGGTGACCAGCCGGTGTGTGGGTTCATAGGTGGGTTGATTTTTAAAAATAAAAATCACAGTCTTCATAATGAGCTTAGGAAATCAAGACCAAACCTTGCAGAAAAGAAAGGTATGCGATTGGTGCCAGTTGCCTTTTTAAGATGGGTTAATTTCAGGTTGTCAAGGTAAATGGGAAGGAGCTCTTGGATAAGAACAGGGAATTAATCTTTCCTGATCATAAGTGGCAGTGTGAGCTGTGCAACAGCATGGACTGCCCTGCCTTTGAAATAGGAGTGCCATCATAATGGGACATGCAGGTGGGAGGCTGTGGTCCCCCTCTGTTTTCTGCTCAGAGATGAGAACAGCAGTTTCTCTATTGTTTGTCCTCAGCCCCATGCTGAAGAGAAAAAAATAAAATAGATGTTTTGGCTGGATGGAGGGAGAAGCATCCCCAAAAACTTTCATTCCTCCTCTTTCCTATCATCAATGAATTGAGCAGAGAGGAAGCAGCAACAGATTAGCCCTCTTGCCCTTTGGAACTGTGTTTCCTCTGCTGGATGGGAAGGAAGTCTCCCAGTCAGTTTGTGACTGCAGTGTGCCAGCTGCTCCTGAGTTGTAGATGTGGTAAGATACGACTTAGAGGATCTTTAGATAAGTCTTGCTAAAGAAGTTTGTGCTTTCCACTAGGGATTATTTTACAACTCGCTGGAAAGCAACAGTTCTCAAACTGGGCTAGACTCAGGTTGCTGGCTCCTTTTCTTTTGTTTTCTACTGAAATCGCTTTAAATGAAGCTTAAAATGTGTGTGCCACTCCTAATATTGTACTGTTGTACTATGTGAGCAGTGCTGTAGCTGGAACAAGGTTGCCATATATGTCTGTGAGTAGGCAGGATGATGGGCTGTGTGATCAAGAATGGGGAGACAATCTGTTTGTCGGGGTTGGGTCTAGACTATGAGAAGGTTTGGGAGCCTGTGCTCTTGAAAAGAATCCATAGGCAAGAAAAGATGGGGTATCCTGGTCATCAGGTGACCATAAAATTGATGGATGTGTATGGCAATGGCCCTCTGAGTGTTACAGTGACTGTGTTTTGTTCCCACAGATGATGTGAAAATGACCATGGCCCAGGCTGGAGCAGTAGTTGCAACTGCAACAGGAGTTCTGCTTTTTCTCCTCTACGCCTCCATTCACAAAGTCGAGGAGGGTCACCTGGCTGTGTATTACAGGTACTGTTCCTAGTAAGCATGTCCAAGCCTCTTGCCAGTAAACAATGTTTTTCTGGATTTAACCAGAAAATGCAGTACACTTCCTCTAAGGAAAGTTTTGGGTAGGTGATTGTCCAGGTCCACGTTCCATGTCTGGGCCCTGTTTCAGGATATTACCAATACATAAATGATAAAATTGGCCTAAAATCATAAGCTTTTTCTTTAAAAAAAAAAAATTCTTGATTTCTACTCTCTCTTTTTTTTTTTTCTTTTTTGTATGACCTTTCCTACCCTAGCATGCAAAACAAGTGTAGGATTAAAGTACAATTTTAATTGTCTGTAAAGTATGCACATGAACATGGCCTTTGAACTCCTGAGTACTTACTCTGGAGTTCCTCACCAACAGCGTGTCCTGCAGTCTTGAGCACCTGGCCCTAAACCTCCCTTGCCCCCTTCCCACCCAAACTATTAGAAATACCTTTTTCCTAGTAGATCTGTGGATTATTCTTCTTATTTTCAGCTGCTAAGTGCCTGAAAGTAAACACGCTTTACTGTTCCATTCTTCCACATAAGCAGTCGCTCTGGTTACCATGGAGAAGTTATACAAATGTGGTTGAGAGGAGTATTCTCCTGCCAGCAATCTCCAGAAGGTGTGTTTGTCTCCATGAAAATAATTTGGAGCCTCTGATCTAGTCAGCATTTAATGTAGTAAATCATAATAGTCTAACTGTTAAAGTCCCTTCCAGGCCAGCATGCAGAAGTGCAATTCCTACCACTGAAGTTTGCCACAGTGTTCACCCTGCAGGCTTGGATTCTCACTTGAATGAGAACAGAAGTCATATCTATGAACTGCATCTGCACCAGAGAAACAGAAAATGCAGTATCTGGGTTCTGCTGCCCTGGGAATCTTCCATTTACATTAAATAAATTATAGCAGTGATAATTGTTAAACGATCTGGGGTATTTTTCAGGTCACTCAGCATAGTGGTACATTCATCATTACTTTAGAGTTTTAAAGTCAGACTGGCTTACTTTAATTAACAAATAAATAATTAAATACAGAATTAAATAACTACAAGAAAAGTGTCTTGTTCTACTGCATGTCTTTTATGTGTCATGATGTTCTCTTGTTCTCAAAAAGTCTGTGGCAAAGGTCTGCCCAAGTTGAACGACCAGGGCGTGCTAGTTTCTATAGCCAGGGATGTATAATGGAGAGATGCAGCTAGCATCCTGTCTAGCCATGTTTGACTGCCATCCTGAATGAGCAGGTATCCACTTTCAGGTGTGTCAGCTAAGGGCAGCCTTTGGCATGAGTCTAGAGCGGGGATGGTACTTGCACCTTTGCACTTTAACTGCTCCATCACACCCTGACTCCCCTGTGTAGTAGGACTTAACTCCCTTAATTTTCTTGCGTACAGAATCCATCAAGGCAAATCAGCTGGCTTGCACTATGCAGGAGGTCAGACTAGAGTAGGTAACTGTTTCTTCTGTCCTTAACATCTATGAAAGACCATCTTGGTCTTGATTCAGCTTTATCACATGCTTTGCACAATGGACAAAATGCAGTTGCATTAGAAAGGTTTATCAGACTGTTATTTTGCAGGCCTCTAAAATGGGGGGGTTACATCTGACTTCTGCCTAATGGCATGTGAAACTTATTGCAGGACTTACATCTGAGGGATTCTGCTGCAGGTTCTTGAAGTTTTCTGTGTTACAAACTTTCTCAGATGTTCTTAATTTTATTTAAATTAAACAATCATCTTGTCAAATTAGATGCATTGAAGCTTATTGAAGTTTCTTCCTTTGAAATGAGAACCATTTTTTCCAGTGGGGAATAAAACCCTTTTGCTGACTGCCCAACTCTCCCAGCTTTTAAAACTGGCTGTTCTACAAAGAAGCTTCTTTTAGTCCTAATAGTATAAGATGCCCTCACCAGCTTCTTTGACCCTGAAGATTGCAATTCTCCTCTCTACTTCTGTTGTGTCAGCCCTTGCACACCTTCATCTTGTGTTATACTGGAGTCAATGTCAGTCTCTCACTTAGTTAACTTTATCTGTGGCCTGAATGTTTTGGTGCATACATTTTCTCATCTGAAAGAAGCTGCTATTCTTAAATGTGTTCTAGGACCTTCTTCCTGGCTATGGGCAAGAGACTAACCATTAGATTTGCACAGAAGAGGCAGTTAGGCAGACATTTGAAGGAGGGTTGGTATTTGAAAGTAATGCACACATCTATCACCAGCTGGATGCATCTTTTAGTAAGCAAGATCTGCTCCACCAAGGGCTAGTTTTCTTGGGCACAGCTTGCTCTGTATGCCCAGGTGTTGGAGCATTATACTAGAGGCCTTTCAGAGAGTTAGCCATTGCAGCCACACTGCTCTCCAGGATGCCAGCATCTCTGTGATCTGTACGAGGCTTGTAAACTGGTTATCACTGGGTGACAAGGCAAGGACAGAACTCATTCGATTCAAAGCCTCGGAGAACCTGGGGTTTCAGTAAGCCTGACTGAACACTTGCTGCATCAAGACTCGATCAGGAATGATAGCCATTTCCAAGGCCTCGGCGCACAGTGTATCTTGAGGCTGTTTTATTGATCTGAGGTCAGTAGCGATCCGTGTTTCCGAGTGGGATCCACGTTTGCTGAATACCTGATCATGCCCCCATAGTTGGAAGTCTGGAGGAAGATCCCTACAATCCCCACCTTTTTAAAGACTGTTTTCCTCGTGGTGGTGTCAGCCTAGAGGGTGAGGGAGCCCTTGGCATTCAAATTAAAGGGGGAAAAAAGGAGTAGAAAACAATAGCAGGGCTCTCACAAGGAAGTGGTGCTTGTCTCTTTGCAGTCTAGCCCAGGCTACCCTGCCTCTCGCTGGATCCAGGAGACTGCCCAAGCAGAGAATGGGAAAGGAGGGTGACTGCATTGCTTGGGTGGTCGTAGACCACCACTAAAATGTCTAGCTAGAACAGCTGAGTTTAGGGATTTGTAAAGACCCAGTGAAGGGCCAGGTGCCTTTAAGCACTAAGGGAGTCCCAGAGATGGGGAATGAATTGGGAGATGATTGAGAGGTGTCCATCACAATGGGGAATGAGGAGTTAGAGGCTTTTAAGATACCCTTTGTCCAATCATTGAGATCACTCTGGGATAACAGAGCGAAACTCTGAGAGGGCCTGAGACCCCTGAATGTGAGGCAGATGTGGCGATAAGATGGTGTGCATTACAGAACCATCCGTGTGTTGACTTACAGCTCTATATCTGTCTCTTTGGTGACAGAGAAGGCTGTCTTCAGCTTTTCCAGTGTCTGGGATCCATTCATGATATGAACTGGTTGGTTGAGGCTACATACAGCTAAACATGGCAGTGCATATCCACAAGATTGGACCAAGACAAGATAGCCTTGTTTCCCCAGCTCTGTTAATTGTTTTCCTAGACCAGTGATTCTTAACCAGGGTGTCCTGGCACTTTGGGGTGCCCTGAGATCTTTTCAAGCGTGCCACACAATGTTACTACTGTTATGTGTGCAGACGTGATTCTCAAGATAAACTCAGAGATTTCAGCTAAGAAACCATAGTGTTAAAATCTTTCTGCCCTATTGCTGTCTTTCTGAGTTATTTGTGATACAAGCATTGCTTTATTATTTTTCTGTAGTCAAAACATGAGTGAAAAGTAAGAGTTGGCATTTTCCAAGGAGTGTCTTGAGTCTTAAAAAGGTTGAGAACCACTGTCCTAAACCCTTGGCTTCTTTCAGATGACCAGAAATAGCAGTCAGTAGGAGCATGTCATTCTGTTTGTGCTTGGCTAGAAGGCTGCGACTTGTCCTACCAATTGAAGGAGCTCCCTACCATGAGCTGTGTTCCTATTGTTATGGGAGTACAGATTATCTATATGGGACTGCACTTACAAAGCTTTCAGAGTCTAGCTAATGCAAACGCTGACATTACCTAACATTTCCTTTTCCTTTGCACTCTTGTGCCAAAGTCAGCTTGATGCAGTTTTTTCACCTACTCCTTGGAGACCAAGGTCTTGCACTGTGCTCATGGCAAAGGGGAGCAAATCTGAAAGCCTGCAGTCCTTGTGATATTCTGTGCTCATAGGTGAGCTTTGATGTAATTGTAAATGCATCTTGGGAAGTTGGTTGGACAACATGAAAACTGGAAGAAATATGTGAAGCCAAGAGTGTTAAATGTGGTATGCTCTGGAATACAGAGCATATTTCACCTTTTGTTAGAGGAGCACTTAAGTATTAAAATTACTCCCTGGGGGCAGCTCTCAGTGACCAGGTGAAACTGCAGTTCTGGGTAATGATACAATTCCTTTGGGATTTCTTTCTGAAACGTATACAGTTTTAATAATTAAAGCAATGAATACATCTTTAGCTTTGGGAGCTAACTTCTGTTGCTGGTGGGTCTTTCCCAGAAAATAGATCACTGTATCTGGTGTCCTACCCAAACTCTTTATAGTGTTCTGGCAATAAAAAAACCCAACTGTGCATTCCCTTAAGCCTCTCCTGCTCTCGGCCTGCCCATTATGGTGTGTGTTTGTCAGAAAAAGACCAACGTCATGGCCTTAAGTCAGCTGTGAAACATGGAAATGAAGTGAAGCCCAG